TTGCTAAGGCTACTGTTCCAATAAATCATAAATGTCCGACGACAACAGCAACGGGAACAACAACAACAACATCGATAACAAAAAAAATAACACTGACAAAGCCACTTCTCAATCTTAAATCTTCTAAAATTTCAAAAGAGTTCCTCTTGAAGTCCCTTACCTCCTCTCCTCTCTCCTTCTTCCCAGCCCTTTCTCCAAGAATAAAACTCAAACCAGCAGTTGCTTCATCGTCCTTTCTATCAGTTTTTTAAACGGTTGACAGCAGTAACAGTCTTTCTCCTAGCTTTTATTGTCGTTACTGTTGTTGGCCGGTATTGTATCATCGGCTACCTTCGTCATCATTTTGATGTTGTTTAAAGGGATACAAAAATGAAGTAAAAAACCTAAACGATACCTCATCTAAACTTAAGTTTTTGATGAATATACAACACCTTTTTACTCCTCCAAATTCGTTGTTTATTACTCACAAAACACATACCTCTCATCTATTTCTTTAACCACCTCTCATCCCTCATCCCCTCTCCACAAGAAAATCTCATAATAAGTTTCATCTTAATGAGCATTTATTGGTATCTTCAAACTAAGCTTTCAAAAAGTCAGAAGAGTACAGCAAAATCAGCAAGCAAACGAACAATTCGAGTGGCAAAATAGCTCCCTCATAATTTTCATAAATACTATAAATTTATTTGCGCAAAAATACCAAAAAAAAAAGACCATCGGCTATAACCGAAAAAAATGAAAAGAAAAAAGTCCGTAAAGTGTAATATTGTCTTCTTTTTAATGAGCTGACCAAAAAAAAATTAAATATTTTTTTTTGACGTTTAATCGCGGCACAAAATAAAAAAAGAGCACAGTTGCAGCGATACTATTTACTTGTCTTTTTTTTCTTTATCTTTCCAAAAAATTTGTTTTTGCTACCAACAAAACGAATAAGTGGCGGCAGCAGCGGCAACGGCAGCAACAAAAACGGTAACAGCAGCTCTAATCAACACAAAAGTCGAAAGGCGTTTATCCATTACACTCAGCCAAAAATGGTTGAACCATTTTGGGGATTAAACTGAAAAAGAATGTTCAACCAGCAAACTTTACTGGCAATGTTCACCAATTCATACAAGCAACAGATGTTGCAAAAAATCTGGAGTCAAAATTCTATGAATTTTCAGCGACCAGTATTTTAGCACGCTTTTTCCTACCTACTCATTGTCCGCTATCCTCTCGTTTCTCCCATACCTCTTCGCCTCCCACCATCCTTAAACTTCACTGTTCCAGCCTCTGGTCTGTCTCTTTCAAACATATAGCTATAGATAAGAAATGTAACAATAAAAAAGCAAAAGATAAATCATCGGTATTCGATTTCTTACACATTTGCAATAATTTTAAATTATTCAAAACCAGCGAGAACAACAAAAAAAGAAAAGACGATCAAAAAAAAAAAACAGTTTTATAACATTAATATAACACTTCTTTCTCTTTTCTAAGCTTTACCGTTACGTTCCTATTTTTGTTGTTGTTGTTGCTGAGTAATGTATGTTCAAAAGCTTTTTTCCCACTTACAGAGTATGAAATAATAGTCACTAATGGACAAAATGCATACACAGTTTGTGGCTCTTCAGTAAACACATAAAAAAAAGTTATATCAACCATAAGAAAATTACATACAAACTTTTATTCTTGTTCTTCTTCTTCTTGTGTTAAGCATTATTAAAGCCAATGTAATTTTTGGTAAACAATAAAACTTGCTAACCGATGCATTACTTTATAAGCATCGATAAGATAGTCAAGATATAAAGTTAAGAAGAAAAAGAGAAACGTTAAATGTTAAGATGGTTTGCATCCAATAATAACTTTGGTTGGTTCACTTTTTTCATTTAATATTTTAGTGAGCTCAATAAATCCATACAAATACAGAGTTATATCGGAATATTACAATAACAGATTAATGTTGTTTTTCGTCTCATTCCCTCTTCTTTCTTTTTCATCTTCTCTTAAATAAAAAAAATTAAAAAAAAA